CCTTTCAGAAATGAGGAAGTTTTATCAGATGCCAAACCACCTCGTCAGGGCAACAACAATTACTGTGGTATTTTAGCAGAAGCAACACAGCCAAGATGACTGCAAAATCAACAAGGCGTCAACGTTTCTATGTCCTATTCTGCCCCTTTTTACAAGCATTAAAATGCATCTCTGCTGTCTCTAGTGTGTGTGTGTGTGTGTGTGTGTGTGTGTGTGTGTGTGTGTGTGTGTGTGTGTGTGTGTGTGTGTGTGTGTGTGTGTGTGTGTGTGCGTGTGTGTGTGCGTGTGTGTGTGTGTGTGTGAAGTTTGAGCTGAGAATAGCACACAGATAATGTTCTCTAACTTTCTGAAACTGAGCCTCTTAGGCGTTTTGGTGACTGTCGCTTTAAATTCAAATGAGATAGTGCTCTTTTCATAAGAGGGCGGAGCTACAGACGGCAGACATTCTGGGGAGTTAAACAGTATTCAAATTAAAGGATTAATCAATCAAACACTGCATTGTTTTCATCCAATAATTAATATATTCTGCAATTAACCTTTAAGCTGCAAATGTTTAGGCTATTGTGACTTTATTGTGTCTTAAATGTGTAAACTCAGCCTTAAACACAAATGCAAATAATAAAGTTTCCCTCTAAGATTTGAAACGACTCCTGTATTTTCTGGACTGTAATGTCCGCTCAGCCTATCGATGCATTAAAGGTTGGAGGGTTTTGTAAGGGCTCGTCTTATGTAATGCATTGGTTAGTTTTTGGTTACTAGACAGCGTAAGTGACAGCGTTTGAGACGAGGAGGCACAAATGCAGCTTAAGGAGTGTAAAGTTTGCTATTAAAAGCTGGTGTGAATATGAGACGCTTCTCTCGGCACACAGCTGCTCCTTCAGGCAGAAACCAAAGCTTCATCTGTTCTGTGTGTATTTTAGGATTTCAGCTCAGATGTCAGAGATGCCAGAAACCATGCATTCCTTTATAGTAGCTGACAATTATCCAGAAATTATGCAAGTGCAAGATGTTCATGGATCATCAAAAAAAAATAAATAAATAAATAAAATAATAATAATGAAAGTAATAATGGTAATAATAATAATAATAATAATAAATTTTAAAAAATAATAATAATAATAACAATAAAAGTAATAATAGTAAAAATAATAATAATAATAATAATAATAATAATTGTAAAATAAATTAATTAAATAATAATAATAACAATAATAAAATAAATAATAGTAAAAATAATAATAATAAAAACTGTAAAAAATAAATAAATAAAATAATAATAATAATAAATAATAGTAAAAATATGAATAATAAATTTTTTTTTTAATTATAATAATAAATAAATAAATGAAATAAAAACTCCTTAAAATTGGAATGTAAAAATTTTAGTTCAGATGCCAGTGATGCCTTACAACTGTACATTGCTTTATAGAAGTTCATTATTATCCTGAAATTATGTAATTACAAGATGGTTATGGATCATAACAAAATAATAATAATAATAATAATAATAATAATAAATCGTAATAAAAACATAATAATAATAATAATAAATCGCAATAAAAACAAAATAATAATAATAATAATAACATAATAATAATAATAGTAATAATAACAATAATAATAATAATAATAATACATAATAATAATAAAAATAACATAATAATAATATTAACAATAAAAATAATAATAAATAAGTAAATAAAAAATAAGAATTCCTTAAAATTGGGATGTAAAGATGCAGGATTACAGTTCAGATGTCAGTGACTATTAAAATGTGCATTTATTAAAATAATAGCAAAATAATTATATATTTTTAAATTAAGTAATTTTTTAAAAACATATTATCCCTGTTAAACAGCATTCAAAAATATTTGAAAAAAAATATGTATCATTATTTATAAATTTAAAGACAAAAATATATTGATATTCTATATATTTTGCCTTTAACTATATAAATAATGATACATATTCCAAATTCTAAAACAGGCCTGCAAAAATTGGCTCATCAAAATTAATACAAAATAGAAACATTAAACAACAATAATTTTATTAACTTTTCTATTAATTATTGAATTTATATGGTGCAACTGTATTCGTTTTGTTCGTTTATTTGAATAATATTCTATGCAAAAAATATCGACCAGTTGGTTACAATATAATTTCAAGCCATATTTGTGCATGAAAATCTTATTTATAGGAAAGCAGCGTCCAGTAAGTGTCTTCAGACTTCAGTTTCATGTGGAATGACCTCATAAATCAGTGGTCAGGATTTAGCAGGAGCTGCGTGTGTTTTAAAGAGGCATATGTTGGACGGTGTGTACTGGTGCTGCAGACTGACACTGATATGGGGAAACCTCCACCCTTGACCATACAGATCCACAACCAAATGGCCCACGCTAAAAAAAGATGTTCCCTGATGACCGGCACCATGTGGAGAGTGGCCAGGGTCTGACCTATCCCATGCCTAAGAATTATTTTATTATTACAATTATTACAAACACAATTTATTAATATCATTCATTCATTCATTTTCTTTCCGGCTTAGTCCCTTTATTAATCTGGGGTCACCACGGTGGAATGAACCCCCTATTATTATTATTATTCATATTATTATTATTACAAACCTCAATAAAACAAGTGTTCTGGTAATTTATGAACTACCTACATTAATAATTGTGATCAAAAAAGCAGTCTTATATTTAAGCAACAGCCAAAAATACATTTTATGGGTCAAAATTATCATTTATTTTTTATTTATGCCAAAAATCTTTAAGTAGAGATCACGTTCATGAAGATATTTTGTACACTTTCTACTGTAAACATATCAAGACTCTAATATGCATTGCTAAACACTTCATTTAAAACTTAAAAGGTGTTTTCTTTTTAGATTTTCAGCCAAATATTGTCTTAACAAACCATACATCAATATATCTAAAGATCATGCATAAATCTCAATTTCCAAAATAAATTGACAATTAGGACTGTTTTTGTAGTCCAAAGTAACAATTAATTTTTACCTTTGGACAGCTCTACCTATAACATTTTGTCATTTACAAAATGTGGGTTGCCAAATGTACAAAAAAAAGCCTACAATTCATGAATGTTCAATGTGCTCTTCCCATAGAATAACATTTACTGATCCTTCACTCCCAGTGGCTGTTCAAACCAGGCTTTTTCTTTCATCAGTATTACTCCTTCTGATACTTTTAAAGCAATATGTGGGTTAAAAGAACACAGTTCGCCGTGTCCGGATGACTTAGAAGCTAAATTTATTAAATTGGCATCTCATATTTTAATATATCCTCTTGCAAACCTATTTAATTTCCTGCTCAGTACCCTTAATTTGGAAAAGTGCTGAGATTGTTCCTCTTTTTAAAAGCGGTGACCCTTCTGATCTAAATAATTATAGGCCTATTTCATTGATTTAAGCTGTAGCGAACGTTTTTGAGAGATTCATTTATAATCAGATTACTAATTAAACTCAAAAATTCGATATTCTTTCTCCTCACCAGTCGGGTTCTAGACCAAATTTTTCGACTACTACAACCTTAATGAAGTTCACTAATGATATATCTTTTGACAAAAGTGAAGCCACTGGTGCAATTTTGATTGATCTCACGCTTTTGACATGTTCAGTCGTTATCTTTTGTTAGATAAGTTTTGGAATCTGTTTTTTGATTTAACTCTTACTTTCATATAGAGGCTTTAACACTAAATGATAATGATAATAATATTTAAATGTTAATATTAGTATTATTTTTATTATTAATTATTAATATTAATAATTTATTATATTATTAATAATATTTTTCACCATTAAAAAAAGTAGTTACAGACTTCCTAATTTACAAATGAGTTTGTGGTCTTAAAACACTGCAGTGATGGCTGCTTGAAGACATATTTCTTATTGTTTATTATTATTATTATTTGTTATATTTTATTATTATTATTATTATTATTATTTGTATTATTATTATTATTATTATTATTATTATTATTATTATTATTTGTATTATTATTATTATTATTTGTATTATTATTATTAATATTATTACTTGTTATTATTATATTAGTTATTATTATCATTATTATTATTAGATTATTTATTATTATTATTATTATTATTATTATCTTCATTATTATTATTATCATTATTATTATTATTATTTGTTATTATTATATTATTTTATTATTATTTGTATTATTATTATTATTTGTATTATCATTATTATTATTATTATTTGTATTATTATTATTATTTGTATTATTATTATTAATATTATTATTTGTTATTATTATATTATTTATTATTATCATTATTATTATTAGATTATTTATTATTATTATTATTATTATTATTATTATTATCATTATTATTATTATTATTATTATTATTATACATTCTGATCTCCAACATTGACTTGTTCCAAACCTGCTTGACTTTCTTTAATAAGATACTTTTAAAGAAAGCGGAAATCACTGACTTCCATATTAGGAAACCCAAATACTGTGAAAGTCAATGGTTACAGGTTTTCAGCATTCTTCAAAATATCTTCTTGTGTGTTCAACAGCACTTAACGGTGAGTAAATAGTGAGCACATTTAAATATCTGTGTGAACTGTCCCTTTCAGTCGAAGCCATTCTCATTCACATCAAAGAGTCAGAGAGCCGCATTCTGCTGTTTCCGTAGCGACGGCGCCGCTGTCCCTTTAAGAGGGGATCTGTGACGTAAATGAGGCCGTGTTTACAATATAGATCAGTGTTTATTCCTCAGATCTGTACAGTGTGAGAGATGCTCTGAGGGACGTCACAGCTGTCAAAACACACTGCGCTTCTCATGCAGCAAAAATAACAACCTCCTCCTTGAACAAGCACTGCAAGACCTTAAAGAGCTTAACTCGCACTCATGTGCGCACACACATACTCATGCATGCACACACACACACATAGAATAATCTGATTTCCTCCTGTATTACTGCACTTCCTGTCTCTGTACTGACCTGTCTCTCTCTCTCTCTCTCTCTGTCAGTGTGGGTGTGTGTGTCCGCTGAAGTGTGTCCGGCTCCTCTCAGTCTGCGTGACCCGCTGCACGGCTGCCCTCCTCTGCCCACCACCGCTTTATATAGAGCGCTGAGGCTCAGGCTGACGCACCGCACGGCACTCTGGGAAGAGAAGACTGCTGGGAGGGACTGCAGGAATGCAAGAGAAAGCTGCCTCACCATTGGCTCATTCTCTCTGCGCTGTAATCAAAATAAATAATCATTTAATCTGGATTTGTGCTTATTTTCATCTTAAACATCTTTTAATTTTCTAACATAAACGTTTATTATGTAAATTGTACATGCACTGAATTTTTTAAAAACATACAAGTAGATTAAAAGAGAAAATATCATCACAATTTGTTTATTTTGATCTTAAATATATTTATTTTCAAAGATTAAAATGATTAAGTAAAGGGTACATGCACTGTAATATTCATTCATTCATTTGTTTTCTTTCCGGCATAGTCCCTTTATTAATCAGGGGTCACCACAGCGGAATGAACCGCCAACTTATCAAGCATATGTTTTACACAGCGGATGCCCTTCCAGCTGCAACCCAACTCTGGGAAAGTTCCAGCTCAAAACTATCACTGGGAAACACCCATACACTCTCATTCACACACACTCATACACTACATATGTGTTTGGACTGTGGGGGAAACCGGAGCACCCAGAGGAAACCCATGCCAACACGGGGAGAACATGCAAACTCCACACAGAAACACCAACTGACCTAGCCAAGATTCAAACCAGCGACCTTCTTGCGGTAAGCTACCCACTGTGCCACCGCACCACTATTCTTAAATAAAATATTAAAATTAAATTTTATTTTGGTAAGACTTTACCTGACTTTACCTGACTTATGACAGTCGTTGTCATCTTAACATTACCAAGACAACATATATTGTCATAAACATGATCGCATATTATAATAGTGTCAAGAATATTTTTAATGTTTAATTTCATAACAGTGTCATTCACATTTAACAGTGCTGTACGAGATCAACACTAAATAGTTCACCCAAAAGTAAACCTTGAAAATAAAATTAATAATAAATCGCTTACTCTAATCCCTCAAGACCTTCATTTCAGGACACAAATTAAGATATTTCAGATGGATTGGAGAGCTCCCTCATCCTCCATAGAGCAAGAGTCAAGCCCAGAAATAACAATGTGCTAGCTAGAGTTTACTAGCAATGTGGTAAAACATGTTAGCAATTTGATTACACGTGGAAGCTAGCTATGCCATGGTAATATTTGTTTAGCAATTTGGCAAACATACTATCAATATTCTAGCAACGAGTTAAACATGATAACAACCATGTTATTAATGCAAGAAATGTATCTGAATATATCTGAACGTGTTTTAATCTTTAAACGTTTAAAAGGCGTCAAATATTACTTCATTTTACGTGTTCGATTAGATCCGTTAAGAAAGATATATGTTAAGGAATAACACACTGGGGCTGCACGATATTGGTAAAACTGACATTGCGATGTTTTTATTTTCCTGCGATATATATTGTGATATGAATATCATCTTAATAGAGGAGATGAATAGCTCGATTTGGAGGGAATTAATCATTTTATATTAATTTCGTAGGACAAATAATCTGCATAAATTTAACCTTTTCTGGAAAGTCTAACTTGGGGGAAGCCCAAACTTTTTCTTATGAAGGACCAAAAACCAAACTTGATCGCGGCTAGTGGGCCAAAGGTAAATATAGTTGCCATGGCTAAATTTCTAAGTTATTTAATAATGTTTTTTTTTTTTAAGACTAGAAAACATTGCTTTCTATTAACTAATAATTTTTTTTTTTACATTTAATAATGAATTTATCACAATAAAAACAAAATAATCTACTTTATAACAGAATTACACTACTTTCTGACGTGATTTGCTCGCCAATGTCTTCTCCATAATCCTCTATCTGTGCAATATTTACATTTTTAAAAATCTGATTAAAAAAACTAGTGGGGTTTTGAAATCAATTAATGCAAATAATCGCGATAACCGTGAATATTTCTTAGACTATAATCGTACAATTAAAATTTACAATCGTTGCATCCTTATTGGTGGGCCAAATCAAAGGTTAAAATGGGCCAACTTTGGCACATGGGCCCTACTTTATGCATCTCTGGTCTAACTGTAACCAGGTACAGATTAATTAATCAAATGTAAATAAATTAAACTGCATAGTATTCATTATATAACAATAACTACAATTTATCTTTGATAAAACTACAAATGTTCCACATTTACAAATGGTTTAAATAGACTTGAAATCTTACAATCAAAAAAACTAAGCAAACAACATTAAAAACTTCACCATGTGGTTCCTGGTCAACTATAATGCCCACTAATATTTCCCAACTGATGACTACACCAAAACTGACCTTAAACAGATCCCACACGTGACTATTGCGGGTTTATACATTTTTAAATCGCTATATTGTGCACTCCTACATTACACCTTCCAAAAACTCCTGATTCAAACATTAATCTTCACTTTTACATTAGTCAGTGGGATAATTGTCCAAACAACACCCAAATATTGTCAAATAAAAGCAGCGTTACTTTAATTTAATCCCTGTAACGGCGATCAAACTACAGTTACAGAGATCTTACTGGAGACATTATAAAAGTGAGAAAGCAAAACTAATAGTAAACGTGACTTACCAATCTGTTATGTACTGTAGTCCTGCTGTGCTGGTGAAGTTGATCGATCAGCTTGATTATCAGTTGTGAATTATCAGTTGAGTTGATCTATAAATTATACTATAGATCAGTTTCAGCCTTGAAATTGATGAGGTAAAAGGAGCGTAACGGTTTTTTTTCGACATTCATCCAATCACAACGCACTAGACGGATAAATGGCCAATCAGAGCTCAGCGCGCTTTTCAAAACAATCAATCAGCAGTAAAGTTCAGAAGGGATACAGCTGTGGTGGATACGAACATCATTTTTGAGACACTATATAATGACTGTTTTTATATCACCGTGTGAGAAAGGCTTGATTTAGGGTTGAGTAGGCGCTAATAAAATGCAATTCATTTAATATCATTCATGTTTATTTATATAACGATGTAGATTATGTATTTAATTAAGTTTAATTATTACTTTAATGATTAAATTGACGTTTTTACATTACTATGAGGGTTGGGGTAGACAGTAATAAAATACAGTTAGTGGATCATGTAATAAATAATATATAATTAGCCTTACCTTCCAGACGCAGCTGTATCCCTTCTAGCAACAGCCCCCTAACGGCGGTTCCGAGAGGGATCTGGCTGCAGACCTGGTGCAGTGCAATCTGAGCTGCATCCAATGCTTTTCAATAGGCTCACCTAACCCCACCCATCACAGTGACATCACTCACTCCATTTGAGTGGTTGTGTCTGACATTGCATCGCTGAGTGATGCAATCTCAACTTGCATCATAAAGGCAGCATCCACAAAAAGTGGATTAATGGACATCAACAATGTACGGTAGGAGTAAAATAGTGTTTTTTTGAACATTACACCATGTGAAAACATTGCATTACATTGAATACAACAAATAATGTTATCCATAAAAACGTTAGACTTTTAATTATTATTATTATTTATATATATATATATATATATATATATATATATATATATATATATATATATATATATATATATATATATATATATATACACTTTGCCACAGTTGGGTTGCAGCTGGAAGGGCATCCGCTGTGTAAAACATATGCTGGATTAGTTGGCGGTTCATTCCGCTGTGGCGACCCCTGATTAATAAAGGCACTAAGCCGAAACGAAAATGAACGCATGAATATATCCATGCCGTTTCTGAAATGTTTGTGATTCTACATGTTGTAAGCTGAAGTCCTTCCCTGACGAAATGAATGAATGCATTAAGAAGAGAAGTATAGTGCAATGTATGCTGACAAAATGCTAAATAATCATAATACACACTATTATTCAAGTCTGCTTAAATCCAAAATAAAGACTCATTCAGCAAAGATGCATTCAACTGATCGAAAGAGACCGTAAATATAGATTTATAAACACTTCACACGCATCCTGCTCTATTCATCTGTGAGTGCTACTAAATAAAATGCAGCACAATTTGCACAAAAATTGCAACAAAAATGATTTCCGAAGGATCGTGTGATGCTGAAACTGAACTTATCTCAGAACAGTGAGACATCGCAGTGAATTAAGGGTTAATGTTCCGCTCCACTTCCTATAATGTGATGTATTGATGTTTCCCTTTTATTCTCACAAGTGAACATGTCAAAGCACACACACACACAAACACTCTGTTCACTTGCATATACATACAAGCTTCATATTTGGATTTTCTATTGTAAGATGTCATAATATGCATGCATATTGCAAAAAAAAAAATGGTTGCTTATACATATTTCAACCTTTGGAATTACAAATATGCACCATAATATGACAGACATGTTCAATATCAGCGATTCATCTGTGTTATTCCAATGTTTGAAAAAGATATACATGCAATATTTCAAAATGTGTTGCATATATGACATTTAATACATGTAAAATGCAAATATCGGCCTCTAGCATATGTAATTTGTATATATTGCCATCTATTAGATTTCTATATCGTGACTTCTGTTAAAAAAGACAAACGCTTAATATCAATTTCAGCAACATTTTATTAAAAGCAAGGGATCCATACCCATGTTCATGAACAGAAAATAAATATAAAACATTATGTACATTGGGGCAGTGACTTTTCAAAAGGCTTTCGGACTCATTCACACATTTATACAATACATGAAGGCAAACCATAATACAGGAAGACAAAATTAATAATAATAATCATTTAAGTGGACTTTGCAATTCAAATCTTCACAAATTAAATATATTTATTAAATGAATCTACATGTAACTAATACAGATCTACTTTTAAGCTCATAAACAATATAAACATCCGATTTTTTCTTGATTTGGAGTAGATTTGGTCGCTATATGAGCAAATTAATTGTATATTAAAAATAAAGGTAAGTTACAAGCATCATGCATCACTGAGACACATATTCTTCAATATGAATCAGCTGTTTAGCTTATTAAAACAAGAAAAGCATCTTCATAAACATTTATGAATGATTCACAACACTTTTAGACTGAAAACAAAAAACATTTACGGCATTTGCTCATTTCTGCCACAAGATGGCAGTGAGTTCATCTGAATCATTTTGATTGAATCAAAATCAGCCAAACTTGCTTTAAAATACTGCGGATTTACATTTGAAATGACTTATTTTTCTTATTTTTTAAATGTTCCTACATAAAATCGCAATCAATATGATGTTTATAGTCACAAATGATTCGAACATTGATCAACTGAATCAATTGATCCGAGTCACGATTCAGTGATTCAGAATAATTTATGAAAAACTCATTCAGTCACTCGATGTGGAAAAAAAAAAGCACAGTGATGCATTAAAATCTGATTTGCATACATATTCACAACACTTTTTAGATTAAAAACAAAACGACGTTTGCTTATATCCACCACAAAATGGCAGTGAGTTCATGTGAATCATTTTCCTTCCCGCCAAAATAGATTGAAAAATAACTAAACTTGATCAAAATACTGCGGATTTACATTATAAATGTCTTATTTTTCTTTTTTAAATGTTCTTACATACAATTGTGATCAATGTGATGCTCAGTCACACATGACTGGAGCGCTGATCAACTGAATTAACTGGTCCGAGTCACGATTCAGTGATCCAGAATCATTAACAGAAAACTCACTCAATCGCTCGATCTGGGGGAAAAAAAGCACAGAAATGCATAAAAATCAGATTTTCATACATATTTATGAATGATTCAAAACTATTTTTTGATTAAAAAAGAAAAACATTTACAGCATTTACTCAAATCTACCACAGGACGGCAGTGAGTTCATGTGAATCATTTTCCTTCCCGCCAAATAAGCCTGAAAACAGCTAAACTTTCTCAAAATACTGCAGATTTACATTATAAATATCGTATTTATGTTTTTTAAATGTTCCTACATAAAACTGCAATGATGTTTATTAGTCATAAATGACTCGAGCATTGATCAAATGATCTGAGTCACGATTCAGTGATTCAGAATCATTTAGGGAAAACTCATTGAATCGCTCGATGTGGAAAACAAAAAGCAGCTTCAAAGCACAATGATGCATAAAAATCTGATTTTCATACATCTTTAAGAAGGATTCACAACACTTTATTTGCTCATTTCTACCACAAGATGGCAGTGAATGCATTTGAATCATTTACCTTCAAAACAAGAATTAAAATCAGCTAAATTTGCTTAAAACACTGCGGATTTACATTTAAAATTACTTAATTTTCTTTTTTTAAATGTTCCTACATACAACGGCGGTCAATGTGATGTTTATTAGTGACAAATGACCCAAGCATTGATCAACTGAATCAACTGATCCGAGTCATGACTCAGTGATTCAGAATCATTTACGGGAAAACTCATTCAATTGCTCCAAAAGCAGCTTCAATCGATTCAAAAGCACAGTGATGCATCAAAATCTGATTTTCTGCACATTTACATAGCTTTTCCCACAATTAGCAACACTTAAACCTCCTTTCACAGTCTTTTTTTGTTGCTTTGTTTTGCTTTTTACAGGTTTCTCAACACTCAATAAATACATTTCTGGGATTTACAACAACGCCTCTGAGTTCAAATGAAGCAGAGATAAACAAAGCAGCCCTAATGTCTCTATTTACTGTACACTTCTCAATGGAAATGTGCTGCAAAGCTGAAAACTGAAATGCACTTGCGTTCAGGAGAGTCAAAAACACATCAGCAGCATCTGAGAAACACTGTAAATGAGCACGATCCCCATCAAAACTGCTCAAAAACACAACATCAGAGGATACAATCAGAGTCTGCAGGTCTAATTAAGGCAGCAGAGGAGAAACGGGAGACAATGAGAGGCTTGTTTTGTGTGGAAAACACTCTTGGCGAATTCACTGAACACACATTAGCATTCAGCATTGGCTTCTACAGCAGGGTTGCCAGATCCAAGCAAAAAATGCAGGCGAATAGCAAAGCAAAACATACATAAAAAAGAGAGATAAAGCAGCCATATCTTCTGTGATATTTTGTAAAACCCATATTTGTATATACAACACTTTTAAGTACCTTAATAACTGATGCTCTGCTCAGGGTTGCCATGTATGCACAGCAGATTACATGTTCTTTAAGAAATGATTCAGTTGTCATTTTTTATTCATGAGTATTAAACATTTTGGCAGCTTGCATCATGTTATGTAAGTAAACCACGCAGAAACTGCAACACACAACTCTTATGGAGCCCAATTGTGCAGGAAAACTGCAAACCTGGCAACACTGACTGGCTTGTACTGTACTGCAGGGTTGCCAGATTTTCAAAACAAACTCAAAATATGCCACTCCTATTTGTAAAAATTCATATTTCACATCACTGTATGCGTTATCCACAGTTTCATTCTTGAAAGTCTTTGTAGATTAGTATTTATAAAGATTCAGCTTTGAATAATAAAGTAATTTTACTTTAATTAAAACAATAATCACAGTTGTTTCTCATGTTTCAAGTGTAAAGATAAAAGAAAGTTCAAGCATAAATGCTAAATTACTTTTAAGCAACTTTTATGAGATGTTTTTTTTTGGGAACACAAAAGAAGATAGTTTGAAGAATGTTGGAAACCGGTCACCATTGACTTCCATAGTAGGAAAGTCAGTGGTTACCGGCTTTCAACATGTTTTGCTTTATAGTTGAAATACCCCTTTAAAAATGTAATGGATGCAGGCAAATGCAAAAACAAAGCTTGTTTCAAAATCTTAGCACTGGTAGAATAACAAATTGCTGGAATAAAATATTTTAGTATATAAATATAATTAATGCAACATGTCAAACCTTTCACCTGAAGAATAACTGCGTTATTATTAAAAGCAGACAAAGTCCATCCGCAGGAAAACTGTGCACCTGGCAACCCTGATCTACACGCTGACACCACACTTGTAGATAATAACATCTAATAATAAACATTTAAAGGGATAGTTAACTCTAAAATATTACGTTAATCAGCAGAGAGTGTGACTGAGTGTGTGTTAGTATGTGCATGTGTGTAGTCCTAGCATTCATCACTATCTGGCAATCAAATGTCCCCACAAGTATAGCAATACGAGTCAATTTTGACCTTGTGGGGACATTATTTTTGGTCCCCATGAGGGAAACAGCTCATAAATCAGACAGAATGAAGTGTGTTGAGGAGGTAAAAATGCAGATTGTTTCCTGTGAGAGGTGTGTGTGTGTGTGTGTGTGAATGTAGTTGTCTGTCAGTGAATTCGCCCAGATCCTCCACATCCGGTCCTCATAAACCTTTATAAACCTACATTGAGTGTAATGATGATTGGCTGTAAAGCACAGGAGGCGTATATACTGAGATGGCACTTGTGTTTTCACGTCTCCCCCCCCACACACACACAGGTTTCTCCTGCAGGTTTACCCAGACTCCTGCTGGTCCTCCGGGAGCCGCACGCGCTGCTCGTCCATCCGCTTGGCCTGCACTCTCTGGATGAGGCTGAAGAAATCCTCATCAGGGACTGTCGGGGCCCGGGGACCGCCTTCTGGAGGAGAGCAGCGCTGGTCATCTATCCTGGAGGACTGTACACACACACACACACACACACACACACACACACACAGGTGAATGAACATACAACACCCCCTTCTGGATGCATGTTAATCCAATGTTTTGAATTTGGATTGCAATACCCAGTTTAACCACTAGGCCCATGTGGACTAATGTGTGTGTGTGTGTGTGTGTGTGTGTGTGTGTGTGTGTGTGTGTGTGTCTCCTCTGACCTGGCACTTGATGAGCATGTTGAAGAAGTCGTCGCTGGGCTCCTGAGGGTCTCCGTCTCCGCACAGGTGCCCCAGGTTATTGTGGGTAATCCTGAGTCCGGGCAGATTACTGACGTTCACCCGCTGGTCATCCAGACGGCGGCTCTGAGTGCTGGCGATCAGGTCAAACAGCTCTTCTGTCTGAGGAGACGTCAGCAGACTGGCATCTGACGCACACACACATAAATATACACACACATAAACAAATATCAGTATGTGGCTATCGGTTACTAGCACCTAACAGCAGTGTGCTAAATCATGCTAGCGACAGGTTTAAAATACTAAAGACACACGGTCATGCAATAAACGTGTTAAAATGATAGCGACATGTTGAAATAGACTGGCATCAAAGCAACACACAACTATCACCTTGTGGCTATCAGTCACTAGCTTAGCGTAATAGCAGTGTGCTAATCTATGCTAGCAACATCTTAAAAATGCTAAAGCAACATAAGAACGACATAATAAATCACGCTAGCAACATGATATCAAGAGGGTAAACCTTAAAGTTTTGAGCTTATAAAACTTCTCAGATCTTTCTTGTCTGGGCTTGAGAAGCTAACCAAGTTACTTACAGTAAGTCATGTTTAAGTACAGCGGACTTAATTATTATACTACATAGATTTACTCAGATAACGATCCTCCGGGTTCCGACATGAAAAAAAAATACTACAGTAAATTAGAGCAAATACTGTTTTGAAGCATACTATAGGAAATTACTTGAATTGATGTGTTGTTGCAATTCTACAGTTGCTATGGTAACAAAACAACTACATTAATTGATCTGTTGTGGTGATTGTACAGTTGCTATGGTAACAAGAACTACAGTCATTGATCTGTTGCGGTGATTATACAGTTGCCATGGTAACACATTAACTATGGTAATGTATCTGTTGTGGTAATTCAGCAGTTACTATGGTAACACACCAACAACAGTACTTAATCTGATGTGGTGATTCTACAGTTGCTATGGTAACAAAACAACTACAGTATTTAATCGTATGCAGTGATTCTACAGTTGCTATGGTAACCATAACTTTAGTAAAGAATCTATTGTGGTGATTCTACAGTTGCTATGGTAACCACAACTTTAGTAAAGAATCTATTGTGGTGATTCTACAGTTGCTATGGTAACCACAACTTTAGTAAAGAATCCATTGTGGTGATTCTACAGTTGCTATAGTGACAACAACCTTAGTAAACAATTTATTGTGGTGATTCTACAGTTGCTATGGTAACACAACAACTATTATGATTAATCTATTGTGGTGATTCTACAGTTGCTATGGTAACAGCAACTTTAGTAAATAATCTATTGTGGTGATTCCACAGTTGCTATGGTAACAAAACAACTATAATGATTAATCTATTGTGGTGATTCTACAGTTGCTATGGTAACAACAACTTTAGTAATTGATCTATTGTGGTGATTCTAAAGTTGCTATGGTAACAAAACAACTAGTGTGATTTTTCTGTAATGGTGATACTACGCAGTGTATTCCCTACCATTATATTAAGGGGTGCGTCCCACCTTCCCAACGACTTTACCTGCCCCCCTTGAAGTAAAGTTAATTTCATTTTCTATTTAGCGCTAGATCACAACTTTTAAAAAGCTAAATAGCTGTCTGTAATATCTTATTTACACAACGGCATACAGGGCTTGATATTGCGATCGTTTTGGTCACATATGCGCCCGAAATGTAATCTATGCGACCTCGTAATATATTTGTGAAACATTTGTGCGACTGCATAATGGTTGTAGCGTGACCTGTTTTGGATAACGGAGCTTTTGTGACTGCGGGAAATGCAAACTGCTGAAGTCTGAGGAAGACACAATGAAAAAGTGCACAGGTTTGCAAACCCACCCAAAATTACAAATAATGGCGCTGATGAGAGCGATCATGTGGCGAACGTTGATCCGCCAACTGAGATCGATCGAGTGATTTCAGAGAGAGTGCAGAAAGACTCGGAGTGGATCAGCTGATTAATGGCCTGAATCTCGATGTGTTGCATTCACTGCATGTCCGGCGCAAATGGCCACTAAATGTAAAATTCACCACTATACATCATCTCCAAAGAAGCTCGCCTTTAAGTTAATAGTGAAACTGCGGCTCATGACAAAGAGCGGTATTGCACAGGCAGTCATTAATGAGCTTTTAAAGCAGCAGGCTCATCTGGACGGGTGATATATAGCTCTGTGTTTAATGGATGCTTTTCACAAGACTGTAATAAGGCAATTATTGGTCAGCAGCATCTGAAATCAGTACAAGTTGTTTAATATTTAGATTTATTTTTAACCGTATGCACATTTACATGTATTTATGTATCTATTACATCATCTTTGCTTAAAAAAATACTTAGGTGTGTGTAATGCAGTGTGTATGGGGGCAGGAGAGTAAGGAGCAGGAGAGACTCAGTGTGTTTCAGAGCTCACCGATCATGTCATTGAGTGTGTTCTGATCGGCTCCGGCTTCTTCTCCGTCGGGCGTCTCGTCCAGCTGACAGCGCTGGTCATCCATACGGCTGCTCTGAAACTTACTCAACAGGTCAAAGAAGCAGTCCTCATCTGACGGATCTCGAGGCAGCTTCTGCACACAGCACATGGCTTATCATTAACGCTAAACATGCTAAAACATTCATTACTTATACTGCGACAATCAGATTGCACAATATGCAGCCCAGGCTCATCCAGTCTCAGCCTACATTATTTGCAAAACGTAAAAAGCATTGCTCCGGGTTCGTTTTATTGTACGTTTCACATAACAAATCCACTAGAGGGCGCTGTTTATATTTGTGAATCTAAAATGCATTCGTTTTGGGTTCGTTTGATTGTACGTTTCAGATGACAAATCCCCTAGAGGGCGCTGTTTCCATTTTGTGAATCTATTATATGTTATATAGGGTATGTTTTGGTGTACATTTCAGAAGACAAATCCACTAGAGGGCGCTGTTTACATTTGTGAATCTGAAATATGTTATATATTGTTTGTTATGTTGTACGTTTCAGATAACAAATCCACTAGAGGGCGCTGTTTACATTTGTGAATCTGATATTCATTAGTTTTGGGTTCATTTATTTTTTTGGTACATTTCAGATGACAAAACCACTGGAGGTTGCCGTTTACATTTTTGTGTATCTAAAATACGTCATCTAGGGTACTTCCATCAATGCTAAACATGTTAAAACATTCATTAGTTATACTGTTTTATACTGCAACAATCAGACTACACAATATGCAACCAAGACTTATTGGAAATACATGTCTCAGCCTATTTTTTTGTAAAACGTAAAATGCATTGCTCTGGGTACATTTTGTTGTACGTTTCAGATGAAAGATCCACTAGAGGGCGCTGTTTCCATTTGTGAATCTGAAATATGTTATATAGTGTTTGTTTTGTTGTACGTTTCAGATGATAAATCCACTACAGGGCGTTGTTTATATTTGTGAATCTGAAATACATTCATTTTGGGTTTGTTTTTTGTACACTTCAGATGACAAAACCACTGGAGGTTGCTGTTTACATATTTGTGAATCTAAAATATATTATCTAAGGTGTTATCATTAATGCTAAACATGTTAAAACATTCATTAGTTATACTGTTTTATACTGCAACAATCAGACTACACAATATGCAATCAAGACTTATTGGAAATACATGTCTCAGCTTATTTTTTTGTAAAACGTAAAATGCATTGCTCCGGGTACATTTTGTTGTATGTTTCAGATGAAAGATCCACTAGAGGGTGCTGTTTCCATTTTGTGAATCTATTATATGTTATATAGGATAAGTTTTGTTGTACATTTCAGTAGACAACTGTTTACACTTGTGAATCTAAAATACAAATCTGCTAGAGTGTGTTGTTTACATTTTTTGTGAATCTGACATTATTATTGAAACTATTTATCATTCATGCTAAATATGCTAAAACATCCATTAGTTATACTGTCTTATACTGTGACAATCAGATTACAAAGTATGCAGCCCAGGCTCAATGGAAATACATGTCTCAGCCTACTTTTTTTGTCAAATGTGTTGCCTTGGGTTTGTTTTGTTGTACGTTTCAGATGACAGATCCACTAGAGGGCGCTGTTTTCATTTTGTGAATCTATAATATGTTATATAGGGTATGTTTTGGTGTACGTTTCAGATTACAAATCCACTAGAGCAGGGCCAAATAAGAAATCATAAATTATTTCTGTAGAAAATATTCCCCCCGCGACTTGGTTTCCTCCACTCACCCCCGCCATCTCACGTGAAATGGACTATGCCAAAATCCCCCACGGAGCGGGAAGAACGATCGCTAGAATATAGCTCACTGGTGGTTTTTGATAGTTTAAAGTTATAAAACAGCTTTTATAGAGTCCAAATCAGCAGAGCATTTAAGGATTGTGCATATATGTGCGCGTGCATCGCTAGTAAGTACCCGAAATCATTGCAATATGTTTCTATATGGAGTTTCACATAATCATACTCATTAGGGCTGTAACATGCAAATGCATACATTTAATTCAGCTATACGGTTGTATTATTGTTAATATGTTCGTCAGTTGAGATGTTTGGCACAGATGTTATGTAATTGATGCATATAAACCCTGATTAAAACATAATCAGACCGCAATAGGGCAACTAGCGCATGCGCACTAAGTTGTTCATGATTAATCTGGATGCACGAGCGCAGCAGCTGTGTTCCCCCCCACACCGGTCCTCTGTAAAATTGACAAACGTTGACCGGTCCACGGTGATAAAAAGGTTGGGGACCACTGCACTAGAGGGCGCTGTTTCCATTTTGTGAATCTATAATATGTTATATAGGTTATGTTTTGTTGTACGTTTTAGATTATAAATCCACTAGAGGGCGCTGTTTTCATTTTGTGAATCTATAATATGTTATATAGGGTATGTTTTGTTGTACGTTTTAGATTATAAATCCACTAGAGGGCGCTGTTTCCATTTTGTGAGTCTATAATATGTTATATATGGTACGTTTTGTTGTATGTATATATGAAATAGCCATTCATGCACACACACACACAAACACACACACACACACACACACACTTAACAAACGTAACTGAATACCAGTAGGAAAGAATATTTATTTTACACATACTGGACCTACATATCAAGAATCTCTAACTACTGCATCAAATTTAAATGAGTTATTTTATACTTATTGTATTTTTTTACCTATTGTGTACATGTATGTACTGCATTTAAAAATACCTGCATGCAATTGCATCTAAAATCTATATAAATACATCGCCTAGAAAACATATATACAGTACATCCAAACCAACCCATAACCCACTAAACCAGTCCAAATAACTTCATGGTCCTGCCAATAGTAACCATGAATAGAAATGTATTTATTTATTTACTGTCATGTGCGAGCTGTTATTGAACAGTTTTGTGAGGTTCAACCAGCCGCATGTGTGACAATGCAGTATTATAGGAGCTGAATGATGCTCTGCTTGCTGGAGTCATGTGTCGCTGTAATCGCTCTGACATTACTGAACACTCATGTGAGCGCTTATCACAATCTCAACAGCACTGCAGGTCTGTGTGTGTGTGTCTAGCTGGTATTCATCACATAATGAGGCCCTAATGTCCCCACAAGTATAGCAATACCAGTCATTTTGACCTTTTTTATTGGAAAATGGCTCATAAATCAGACAGAATGAAGTATATAATATTAAAATACACTGTTTTCAGTGAGAGTCGGGCTTAGGGGTAGTAGAAACATCCTTGCATCTTTGAGAAGTCCCCATAAAGATAGCCATGCTAGTGTGTGTGTGCATGTGTTTATCACTATGACCTTTCAGTGGTCAGACACAAACACACACACACTGAAACTCTCCCCAGCAGGTCAGACTACAGAGAAACCAGCAACATAACGCTCAGAAAAACCACAACAAACCCTCCAGAAAGCTTCCTAAAGTGTGCAAAGCCAACTCAGAGAGCGCCATACTGTAAACAAACACACTAAAGTGCTGCATTTCAATACACATCTCCGTCATCTTTACCAGAACATCAGCTTAAACAGGAACAAAGCACTTAATATCAAGCCAGCAGAGCCCATCCCATAATAATAACAACCCAGAGCATCAGCTGGAACACACACAGCAATGCAGAATAACCCAGCAGATCTCTACGAACGTGACCGAGAATAAGAGTTATACTTATTATAGAGCGATTCGTTAATCCACAGTCGGCTCATCCTCCAATCACACAGCGTCAGTGTGTGTGTGTGTGTGTGTGTGTGTGTGTGTGTGTCCACTGTGGGAAAACAACTCATTAATCCGCCTGTGATTATGGGATGGTCGAGGGGAGGGTTGAATTTCGGGTCATTAAATGGACAGCGAGTGGCAAACACACTATTTAAACACACTCTGAAAACTATTAAACACAGATTAAAACACACACACACACACACACAATAATAGATTGATAGAGAAAGTCATGCAGAGTAAAGTCTCACATTCATCTGCTTGTTGATCTGTCCATCATGATATCGTTCAGCGTCTGCTCGGTGTGTCTCCTACACCTTCCCTTCACCGCCTGACTATCTGTGTGTGTGTGTGTGTGTGTGTGTGTGTGTTTAGCTGCTCGTGCATTCACTTCAATAATTCAGTTACACTGAGGGCGAGAGATGAAGAGAGAGAGAAAGAAGAGAGGGAGAAAAGAGAGAGAGACAGTAAAGAGAAAGTGAGAGAGAGATAGACTGGGAGAAAGAGAAAAGTCCGAAAAAAAAATTAAGTAAGAGGGAGAAAGAACAAAGGGAGAAACAGATAAAGAGAAGAAAAGAGTAAGAAGGAGAGAGAGAGACAGAGAAAAAACAGAGAGATTAAGTGAAAAGAGGGAGAAAGACTGAGAAAGAGGACCATCAAAGGTTTTTGTCTAAATGACATCATCAGCGTTTCCATAGCAACCCCTGACCTGGGGTTAAAGCCTTTGGTCAAAGCTAATAAGCTCTAAACACTGGTGACCCAGCATGTGCTGAAGGTCAATAACTGGTGGCCTTATATTGCACACGCAGGTCAAAAGTGATCCAATAATTAGCTAAATGAGTTTGATTATCTGCTCGATTATCTAAAAAAAACACATCATCATGATTATTTTGGTCAGCATATTGTATTTATGACTCTTTATAATCATTATTTGATTTTTAATCATAATAGTGTTAATAACTCGTCTCTAATAGCTGATTTATTTTCTTTTTGTCATGATGACAGCACATAATATTGGACTAGATATTCTTATATTCTATATCAGGGGTCACCAATCTCGTTCCTGGAGGTCCGGTGCCCTGCAGGGTTCAGCTCCAACTTGCCTCAACACACCTGCCTGGGTGTTTCAAGCATACCTAGTAAGAGCTTGATCAGCTTGTTCAGGTGTGTTTGATTAGGGTTGGAGCTCAAATCTGCAGGACACCGGCCCTCCAGGAACACGTTTAATGACCCCTGCTCTACTGTAAATATAGACAGATATAAATACTATTTATATTATACTTTTTATATTCAGCTTAAAGTGACATTTAAAGGTTTAACTAGGCAAGATACTGGACAACACTGGTTAGTTCTGTAGCCAAAAAATAAATATTTCTTAAGGGGGCTAATAATATTAACTATATACACACACACACACACACAGTTGAAGTCAGAATTATTCGCCCCCCTTTAAATTTCTTTTTCCTTTTTTAAATATTTCCCAAATGATGTTGAACCAATTCAGGAAATGTTCGCAGTATGTCTGATAATATTTTTTCTTCAGGAGAAAGTCTTATTTTTTTTATTTCGGCTACAATAAAAGCAGTTATTCATTTTTTAGACACCATTTTAAGGATAATATTATTAGCCCCTTTAAGCTATATTTGTTTCCGATAGTCTACAGAACAAACCACTGTTATACAGTAACTTGCCTAATTACCCTAACCTGCCTAGTTACCCGTAATTACCCTAATGAAGCCTTTACATGTCACTTTAAGCTGTATAGAAGTGTCTTGAAGAATATCTAGTCTAATATTATTTACTGTCATCATGACAAAGAGAAAATACATCAGCTATTAGAGATGAGTTATTAACACTATTATGATTAGAAATGTGTTGAAGAAATCTGCTCTCCGTTACACAGAAAATGGTGAACAGTAAACAGGGGGGCGAATAATTCAAGGGGGTTAATAATTCTGATATATATATATACACATACACACACACACACACACACGGAAAAAATGATTTTTTTCCAGCCAAACTAAAAGATATATTAAAAGAAAACGTATACATACGCATTAATATTTGACAGCGGAATGAACCACCAACTATTCCAGCATATGTTTTACACAGCAGATCCCCTTCCAGCCGCAACCCAGCCGGGACTCAAACCAGCAACTTTATTGCTGTGAGGCAACAGTTCTAACCACTGAGCCACTGTGTCACCTGTATATTATGATATATTATATTATATTATATTCATTATCTTTACGGCTTAATCCCTTTATTAATCTGGGGTCGCCAGAGCAGAATAAACCGC